TCTGTTTTTTGTTTTTTTCTGTATTTGTGTGCATGCTTGATCCTACACGCCAACATTTGCTTTGCGAAATGTTTATTTTTGTCTGAAATTCACCACAATTTGCTTTATTTTGCGTTTATTTAACGATTCAGCGCCTTTACGCTTGAGCGCCCGCGCGCTTCAAACTGTTCGTCCGCGTTATCATCGGCGTTGAAGCGGTCAAAATTGTTTTACCCACCAGTGGCACATAGCACCTGCGCCACCACTTCTCCGATCATTACGGTGCTCATTATGGCTGTCATTAACGTCGAGTGTATTAAGTGTCTGCTAGCATCCATTGTTGGTGCTCATTTATGTATTTACCAGTACACGAGTACATACATACTTGTAAAAATGTTAAGGGAAATTATACCAAATACATGTGTATAAATTTGTATGTATGAATTTAGCTGAAATTGAATTAATGCGAAAGATAAGAAAAGTAGCAATTAAGGGAGCCAGCTTTTATGAAGTCGCAAAACGTAAGCAGTCCCACAAATAATCTTTGTTTATATTCGAAATTCCATTTTGTAATGGATTGTCTGACAAATAACGAAACCCATAGGGTAACTAAAAACAAGAGGAAAATCGCTAAAAAAAATTTAAAGAAAATTATTTCAAATAAATATTTTTATTACCTAAGCATAGCAAATTTCTAAATGAATTATTTATTACCAAAATTATACTATAGCTGTTAAGCATTGAGAAGATATAAATCTCACTAAACATTAAATGTAACCTCAATTCAAGCAAAACAGCTCTCAAAATAAAAACAATAATAAAATAATCTCAATGAAATTCCTATCACTTCCATGACAAATGGGCCACACACGTGTCAACAAAACAAATCCCAAAACACTGGTAAAATTTCGTCATAAAATATTGAATCTTTTGCAAAAAGCACTTAAGTAATTTGGGCCTTCAGAGACAACCGCAAGGCACAGGAGAGTACAAATAGCGAAAAATTTGTATGTGCCGTTCAGTAATGCAGCACAAAAAGGTTGTCATTATATGTATGAATATGTTTGTATGTATATGCATAACAGTTAGATAAATTATTATCCAGGCGGTTTTTGGGCATGAATCGTCAAATTTTAAATGGATTAAAAAAACACAGAATTTAATTACAGCCAGACGGCGAAATTTTGGCAAACAATATGAGTTTATTAAATATTTGTAGGTATACTTACGCGTGCACAAACATATATGTATATGTAAATTGGTGTTTGTATGCATGTGTGAATATATGTATACATACATACATATATACATATATGTATGCATATGCGTAAAATTGTGCAGCCTCAAGCTCTGAAATTTAAATTTGGATATTAATGTATTTCGTAAAAGAAGTTATCTAAGAAGGTGTACTAGAAGTTGAAAACTTCTTAGATGCAAAAATGCTGACTTTAGTGAGCTTTAACGAAAAATAAGACTAATGGATTTCAAAGTCATAGGAACTTTATTTGCTCTATGCGCATAAGTAATTGTCAAAAACTGCATCAGCATTTAAATATTTGCGGTTAGTTATTAATACAAAGAAAAATGTTGATGGTATAAAGCTTTACATTATTTTATGTTGATGCTTGACAAAATGTTTTTTTTTTGAAATTTCAAGACCCAAGGGGGTCCTAACTTTATTAGTTTTTATGAGAAATATTATTGCCTATTTTTATAGATCTCTCAAAGGTCATTTAGAGGTCGCGACCTGTCGAGTTAGGTCAGAATATACGATTTTGGTGATTTATGAGTTTTTGAATGATTATTTTTGATTGCATTTCAAAGTTCGATCATGATCTGAGAAGAGGATATATAGGCCTTTAAAATGGTTCATAATAATATATTGTTGGACTTGGCTTCTTAGGATTTTGTATCGGGTAAAATAAAAAAAAAAAAACATATTTCTCTTGATTTTTGAAATTTTGACCATCGACAATTTTCACAATTTCAAAATACGTAATGCTATCTAAAATTAAATCTGTTTCTAAATAAACTGATAGCTCATTACGGAATATTTATTTTTTTGCTAATTAATTTTAATTATTTTTCTATACAAATATAGTTTATTTTTTAACAAAACTGCAGAACTTTTTGTGCAATATTTAAAAGTAATTCAACAAACTTTCGTTAAAATTTCAAGCTTTTTACGATTTGTACATTTGTAGAGATTTGTACATTTTGGCAGTCAGAGAGTGGTGTTGTTTTGAATTTTTTTTTTTCAGAATGAGTTTAGCGCAATAATAAAAATTCCAAATAACCCTACTCTATATAAATAGTGTGATCCCTGCTTTAGAAATTTTTTTAGTATTTTGTTCAATTTATGAGTATGTATAAAAGGTATGTAGTAAGCATCTAGAACTTACTGTTGATTTTTAGTAAATTTTTCGCTGGCGGTGCATTTTTGTTCATACAAAAAATCATCGAACGTATGGAAGAGAGTGCACAACAATGTTCGCAAGGGTTGCAAGCGAATAGTTTTGCAACAATGTTATTAATTTTTTTACGGTTTTTATTTGAAATGAACAAACATATTTTTTGCTCCATTGTTAATTACCACTTAGAAACTGCTACAGCGCGAATAAGTTTAATATTTTTTTTTATAAAAAACGCTTTACTTAAAATTTACCCAGCAAACTTCAATTTTTTTTATCGACTGCACCTCTGAGTAATCGCAATGATTTGCAACAAAAACGACTTAACTACAGATACAGAGTATAAAAACAACTTTCAATAAATCAGCTCACATGCACCCTCGCTCAACTCAACCAACGCTGTTTAGCTTTCAACGAAAAAAGTTACTTACTTACAATGTCAGCTTAACTCACACTGTGCCACATTTCATCGACATAAATCGATTTAAAATTGGTTCTTAATACGCGAAGCGCATCGCCGCATGATACGCCCCAAAGGACAAACTGATATGCCATGCACGCAGCAACAGCAAAGCGGCAAGCAGTGCAATGAACAGCCAACGAACCTCAAATGAGCTGCCTTTGTGGATTTATGTAAGTAGATTGATAGGTGCATCCTGTACGAGTATTTATGTATATAGTTATCGGTGGATGTGTGCGATTGAAACTACAACAGTGCACCCTAACATGCAACGGATACACAACAATAATAAAAGTGCAATGAGCCTTGAAGGTTAAATGACATTGCAACATGGGGCAGGTAACTCCCATATAAGCGATTGATAAGTTGGTATATGTATGCATGTGTGTTCGAAAGTACAGGGGAAGCACGAAAAAGCTACAACTACAAGCAAAGTAAAGGAAAAAATTACATTGTTGGTTTATTGCGCACCATACCTTTCTTTATGCTTGCAACAGCCACATCAACGGGAGTGAAAAGAAAAACATTGCAACGCATAAAACCCACCTTTGCCGGGGAGTTACTTACTGGTGGTGGGTGCAGGCGCTAAGTGCCAAGCTCGAATCGCCGACAGGAAATCACTGAAAGCAGCTATAAAAGCAACATTGAGACTGATTCGTTGACTAACTTGTCGATGTTGTTTGTGTGGGTTTTATGGCTGTCGTTGGCTGCTTTGTTGTTGCATGCGCAGGTGCTTATATGTAGATGGCGCATTGCATGCATATGTATGTATGTATGTATGTATGTAGTTGTTGTGCTCACTATTGGGAGTTTTATTGCAAACACACAGCGATAAGTTTGTTTCACCTTAAAAGCATGTTGCATGCAACAACGTCCGACGACCTCCAAACTAGCTCCAACTGAATGAAAGTGTGCCAGCAAAATAAAACAAAAAAAAAAAAAAAGAATGAGCAGAGAACGTTTTCACTACTTAAAGGGTTTTTAATGGAATGAAGGTAGTAAAAAATGGCAACATTAGCGGCAGGCAGCCACAAAATGAAAATAATGAAAACCGATATGCTGTTGCTGACATAAGGCCGCACTGACAGCATTTTGTTATCTCGTCATTGAGGTGTGAAAATGCAGAAGGAAAAAAGTAATGATAAATTAAATGTAAACTGGAGCAAGGTTGCAAAATTCCGAGTAAGTAGGTGGAGTGTGGCAATAAGTGGTGGGAAAAGAGGAAGGAGTTGCAATGTTTTTTTTTTTTTTGGCTTATAGTGCAAGTGATTTAGTGTGAAACGACGCTGAATACATTTTAGAAATATGTACGTAGATATGTCGAACATGAAGGCTAAAAAAATATAAGAAAAAAATTTATTCAAAAAACTCTCACGGTCTTAATTAGAAAAAGGGGCGTACATGACGGGGCGTATGCGCAACTTAACAGTTTTTCTTCTTCTGCGTGTTATGTGCATATGTACGCATTTATGTATATGAAATCGACATTTTCTCCAACAAATTTGGAACTTCGTTCAATGAAGCCAATATGGAAAGCAGTTTCTCTTAAACACTACTAATAAGTCCGTTGTTTCAGGCAACCAAATATTAACCAAATATTATTATTAGTAGCTTAAGAGAGTTTCTCGAGTTATATTCTCAGAAGTTCTCACTCTTTTCTTGAAGTATTTCAATCGTGTATTTTAAAACTTTATTTTAGGAAGAAAACACTTTATAGGCATACATATATTCGTTGCATTTTATTAAAACCACTTAAGTGACTTTAGAAAACACAGAAAAAAAATTATTTTCACTTAAAAAATTTAATATTTTTATTAAGCTTCTATTAAAAGGGCATATTTGACTATATTCATTCACATATTTCTAGTGAATCGTTAAAATATTATTTGCGAACCCAATGAAATATTGCCTTGAAAGGAAATGGCCAAATCAATTTATTAATATGCCAGCATAAATTTTGTTCGCCTTTGTTAGGCGTTTTTACTGGAGAGATCGGAATGGTTTTTATAGTTTCAAAATTGTTTGGTGTTTAATTTTTATTTTTATTTTTGCTTCGAATACGAGCACCAAGGCGAATACGAAGACCAATATGAATACGACGACTAACACCAATAAGAAGACAAATACGAAAATGAATATGAAGACCAACTATGGGAGAAGAAAACGAATATGATTACGAGCACGAATATAAAGACGAATACGAACACGAATATAAGGCAAATACGAAGACAAATACAGAGAAGAATTCAAAAGCGAATACGATGACAAACACGAAGACGAAAATCAAAACGAATATAAAAACGAATATAATGGCGAAAACTAATACGAAGATTAACACGATGACGACTGCGCTGACAAGTGCGAAGTACAATACAAAGACGTAGTCTAATACGACTGTGAAGACCAACCGAAGACGAATATCAATAGAAGGACAAATACGAAAACGAATACGAAAACGAATACGAATACGAACATGAATGCGAAGTGTAATACAGATAGAAATAAGTAATACGAAGATGAATACGTTTAGGATGCAGAAGTCTTAAACGATGACGAAGATGAAAACAAAGACGTTTTTATGTTTTTACAATTTGTTTTGCCTCGTAATTTTATTTTATTTTGTTCCTGCTTCTACCTGAAGAGTTTGTAAGGTTCGAAAATTCTTCGTCTGATTATCAATGAGTTTTTATAATTGACGTGATTTAAACTTTAATGTAAAAAAATATATCGCTAATTTATTCATCAGTGTCATAATCCAAAGTTGGAAGAGTTGTAATAGGCATAATATGTATAAGTATGTACAACAAAGGTGGCGTGGAAACGTGTGCATATTATGACGATTACAATTCTTCCAACTTTTACTTTGAATCGTTATATCTCGGAAATGGTGGCCTTAGGACAAGAAGTATTTAGACATTTTTAATAGATAATTATCTGATATAAAATTTTGTCTAAACTAATTTTATGAAAAACTTGCCGTTTGCTGAAAATCGCGAAAACCCCTTTGTTGTGACTTTTGACCCCGAGTGACTTTTTTTCCCAGGTATCGGATCGATGAGCACTTTCTAGATTTCATTTATGATGGTGTTTTGAACAATCCTACAAATTTTCAGCTGGATGGGAAAGTTTTGTAACTTCACTCCTATTTTTGCTCTAATTTGACCAGACTAATATAAAAACTCATATTTTTTTCATGCATAATTCACAAACTAAGTAGCTTTCGAATTGTACTAATAAATTCTAGAATTCTTTACAAAAGTATACACATCTAAAGGCTTAGAAAAAATAAATGTTTTTTATCTTCGCTAGAAAAAATACTCCTCTCAACAATAGGCTTTGCCAAATAGAATTGTGTTGCATGTACTTATGTATGTATAAAAGTAGTTACATGTATGCACACATACATATAAGCAGCGCCAAAGTAAACAAACGCATTAAAGTATTACTAAGTATTTTTATAAAGTAGCCTAAGCTTTTATTGTATGTATTTTTAAGCCGTTGTGGCGCAAAATAAAATAAAGCTTATTTAATTGAAATGCAAAGGAATAGCATATTTGTGAGAAAAAAAAACAGAGGGAAGTAAATATATGCGCAGAGAGAGCTAAGAGAATATATTAAAAAAAATACTTTTTTTAGGCAGAAATTTTAAAGTATTTGCAATAAGTAAAACTTATTTTGAACCTACATACATTACTTTCAATAAAAAATAGTTGTAATTTTGGAATCAAATAATGTGAATAAATATCTAGTACACTTCATTGCGGATTGCGTAAAGTTTAGAATACAACTCTCAAGAAAAATCACTACAAATATTTTTCATTATTTCTGTTGCTTGAAAATGTATTTAGTCGTTGCAGTTTTTTTTTTTTTTTAATTTTATGCCAAGTGCCCAACATACGTGTTACGGACTTATAAAATGATCAACAAGCATATGCAAGTATTTGTAGTTATTTACGTCTCTCTAAACACACTCATGCAAGCAACTCTTTTACAACTCAAAATCCCCAAAAGTATTGCAGTGGTTTCAGAAGACGTGTTTATGCATAGCTAAATTCTGAACAGAAAATGCTGCGTTCAAAAATTCATTTCTTCCTCTGCACTTAAATATGCACACAAGTTGCCACTACAGTGCAAGGTGCGTTCAGCTAACAGCTACAACGTGCAACATGTTGAGCTATACTCGCATAGAGTAGTACTACTCTTCATACATTCATACTTATATAAGAAAGCTTTGCATCTGACTATCAGCTACAAGTGCTCACCGCATAAAATTGCAATTTACAGTTAAGTCCATAATGTATGCGTAAAAGACTATCTAGTACATAAATTCAACCGTGCGATATGTTTGCATAACCTCTAACTTTCTTTCTTTTCTTTTTCTCTTTTCATGACATTCGCCATCCATCCTACACACCGATTTTCTGTGTGTTTTCGCGAACTTCTGGGAATTATCTTTTACTGTTGCTGTGCCACAACAGCCGTCCTTGAGCTTAGACAACACCGTGGAAACGTTGCTTATCAAGAATGAAGGTGATTTCATCAGCGTCGAACAGGGCAAAGAGACCCTAACAGCAACTGGAGCAACTGGAGTAACCGCTACCGCCGGCACAATACACACATCAGCACACGCACGCAAGCGTAACTCACAACAATTGCAACATCCACCACATCACCCAGCGGGTGCACATCATCAACATCAGTCAGCTTCGCAACAACAACAGCAACAACAACAACAACAACAACAGAAACGTGATGAAAATATGCGGCAATTGTTGGATGTAACAAATACGTTGACATTTGAGGAGTTGCGTGATTTTGAAATGCGGTAAGTGAATGGGGGGCGGGACAGCGAGCGAGCGAGGGCATTCTGCGGTAGAATGCGTCGTTTGACTAGCTGCGAGTGCAGGAGGTGTGTGTGCTTTTGTTTGCATACGTATGTCCTTTATCCTTCCACTTCCACTGCCGCTGCAAGCGTAGACAAACAATGGCGTCACCTTTACATACTTATCAACGCGCTCAAACTTCTTAATGCGTCTAATAACTTAAGTCGGTGTGGTAGAAAGCATTTGAAATAATTTCTCGCATTTTCCTCAACACTTTTACTCCACCACTTGCTATTTTCGTGTGCCACGCTTATAAGGCAAACAGATTTCCTTCAAGCACGCAAGCTTAAATTGTGAGGCGATTTTCCTTAGCGCCGCGCGGCGCATAGCATTTACTTAAGTAGCAGCCAATATGAGCAGCAGATTACCTGCTTAAAAGCAAAGAAAAATATATACATACTTATGTGTGTGAGCACGTCGTGGTTGGCCTTGCAACATTGTCTGTTACTTGCCTTCATTGAAAACGCCAACGTAGTTAGATGAGCACATAATTTCGGCGAAAGCGCCATTCTTAAATGGTTTATTATACCCATTGAGGTGCTGCATATGGTGGGGAATTTCTCTTCACCTGCTAGCGGAAATTAAGTTAGAATTTTACGACAGTTACGGTAATGGCGAAAAGTGTGTGGTGCCCGCTAATGGCAGTAATATGGCGTCGCGCCAATTGTTTATGATGGCGCGGTGTGGAGCAGTGTTGGCCATAATGAGCTTTTAAGATTGCATTAATGTATTAAAAAATCGATGGTAGGGAAATGTTTGTTGCGGTTTCTAAATATTCCTTAGGTGGAAAGTTTGGTAATCAGAAATACATTGTACTAATTACGAGGTTAAATGTAATCAAACTGGAATTTTTTAGCGCCTCGCGAAGCGATAAATCAAAACACTTATAAATGTCGGATAAAGGTGTACTTTTAACCGACAACATAGATACATTAATTTTGAGAAACTCGCGGTATTCCACGAAATTCGTTTAAATTTTGTAAATTATTATTTTTATAGTTTTTATTAGTGCAACCTTTTTATTCGAATTTGAATTCGCCCCTATATTCTAGCAGAGTCACAAATTGTAGCGCCTCACTGCTGTGATTTCTTGTGCGCCGCAAAATGTGCTACAAAAATTCGATTTTAAGTGCTCGATAAAATACACCAAAACTTAAAAATTTGTGATGTGGCGGCAAACGTTGAGGCGCACAGCAGTGATAAGCTAAGGTTTGTGACTTTGAGGGAATACGGCTGTTACGGCAAATAGTGTGCCAAAAAGTATGCAACGTTTTCTGTATGACCCACTGATACTGATTTTTAATATCTATCGCTCGTGCTCTGAACTTCTCAACTAGCTGCCAAGTAGCTAGCATCTCTATCGCTCTCAATGTATTTCTGGTGTCTCTACAGCTTTAAGTGAAACTTGAAGCAACAGGCTGGGATAAATTTTACATACCAATTATTTTAAATAATTTTCTTATGCGAGGTTTTTACTTCTTTTAACTCACTCACTTTTTCTATTCTATTAAAAACTCAACTCGGCCGTGCTTTCTTTATTCATTCAATATGTATCAGCATTTGCGAACTCCCATCAGCATTCAAGAAAGGTATATGCTGCTCAAAAATCGTAAGCATAGTTTTAGGAAGCTTTTTAATGCAAATTTCTTGATTCCTAATATATAATTTTTCGGGCCTTTTGCCTTTAAATTCATATTTTTCATATGTGACAATGAAATCAGTTTCACTCATGTGGAAATCAGTTCCCCTTTTGTGGAAATCATAGAGCGATGGGAGCTTTTACTTGATAAAAATCATGATGAAATTTCTTTACAAATAATTTATAAAAAAATTATTTAAATTAAATAATAAAAAAATAAATAGTCAAAACTCATCAATATAGGGTGACCTTATCGGGCACTAGTAAGACTCCCAAAATACAAAAAATTCCAAATCTCACGAATTATATAAATTTTTGTAATAGGCTAAGCAATAAAAAGCTGAAAGAATCAGGTTCTTACTTAAAATAATTAACGAAAAATTTTGTTGGTTCCTCAAGGAAACATATTCTTGAATGGTTTTATTAAAAATCCTGTATTTAATCGTAGTCGTATAGTAAGTAAAAAAAAATCCATGTAGAAAATGTTCACACACTCTCCCTCTATTTATGCGAGTATTTCTAAGGCTTCTATTGCCACCTGTGCTTTCTTCGTGGAAATACACTCACTTTTCCACTTAACCAATATGTCGTAAGCGCGTTGTGTATTCTACCTGTTGTGTTCAATACTTCGAAATGCATCTACTTTAATGCAGCGCCAATCTAAACAAGATAGATTATATAAAGTGGTACCGTGAAATTTTGGCATCTACCCACAAGATCAATAAGACACATACTACGTGCATATAGCGTGATAATATATGACGCATATGTAGCAGATTGGCAAAATAAATTTGAATATCAAAAATGCGGACTATAAGTGTACTTATGGAAGATTGAGTTGAAGAGAAAGCTAAACTGCGTAGCATTTTCAAATTTATGCAGAAAAAAATAAAAATGCGCAAACCTCAATCAGCTTTTGCTGAAATGTATGAAAACGAAAAATAAGTGTTGTTAAGAAATCACGAAAAATATTCGCCAGCAAATTGAAATTCCAAAATTAAAAAGTCATTAAGTGCAGCAAATGCGAATTTAAAAATTCCATAGACACAAAATGAAAACGTTGACCATTTTTTTAATTAAGCTGTTAAAGGAGAATTTTGGCACGAAATAAATATTTCCACACTTTCTTATTAAAGCAATTTCAATATCAAGTGCAAAGTTCAATAAAAACGGCATTAAGGTGGTGGGGTTTTGTTTTGAAAAGTGTTTTTGTTCATTTTTTTTTTTTTAATTTTTGCAAATGTAAATATTTGTGTGCTGTTCATACATACATACATATTTGTGTACATATTCATAACTGCTGATACCAGCTGTTCATGTTTTTTGCGTGTTTTTGTAACCAAAATAATTGCAAAACAGAAATAAACTTAAACAATAAAAAATCGAGCAAAAAAATTAATAGACTTAATTCGCAGAATCATTCCGGTATAAACGCATCGTCTAAACAGCTGCTAAGCAAACAAACACTAGCTTTTATTGCCAATGAAGATAGACAAAACGAAAATTTTTACGCCTGAAAAAAAAATGTAAAACTGCTGCTGCTCCATACGCGGGGTGACGTCAGCTGCACAGGCAAACAGTCAAAAGGAAGTCATTAAATATTTGCAAACAATAGAATACTATTCTTTGAAATACAGCAGCAAAAAAGTTCTTAAGAAAAAAACCTAAAATTTAGCGAATTAAAATTAAAGAGTAATGAGTGAGGTAAGCAAAAGGCGGCACAAATGCAATTGTTAGTAGAGGAAGCCCCTACTGAAAGCAGCTACCTGTCATTAATCAATTTTACAATCTAAATTTCCATACATTCACACTATTAGGGGATCCACAAGACATGTTGAGCGTCGGAAATTTTTAAGCTTAAATTAGTGGTATGTAAAATGAAGGTTTAAATGGTTTAAGGGGAAGCTAATTAGATATTTTCTATCAGTTTAAAAGCATTTTGGTGTAGTTATAAATCCTATATATATATATATTAGGGTGGTCCCTAAAATATCAACATTTAAATTTTGTATGGAGTACCACTTAAAGATATCCACAAAAGTTTCAAAATTTTAAATTAATTTTATAAGGGTTTAAAAATTTATTTTTTTAAATCACAAAAGCTTGAGAAAAGCTTAACTATATGAGGAACGAAATAAATTTTTAAGGGTGTTACCAGGAATTGAAAACATAAGTGAAGTTTAATAAGTTTGACAAATTATTGAAAATTATTCAAATAAATGCATAAACTTGTTGAGTTATAGCTAAGCTCAGACAAAATTTTTCTCTAATTTTTGCGATTAAAAAAATGAAATTCCTATTTTTTTAATTTTGAAATTTTCATTGATCTTTTTATTTACATACAAAAACACATGTACATATGTACATTTCCCGCTCAATTGGCGCTGCATTGAATTTCACAAAATTCACCACACGTAAGTTAGCAAAAATTTACTACATTTGGAATTATGAAACGCAATTTTTGGCTGTTTCGTCCTTTTCCGCTGGTGCAATATTAATGCTGTTGATTTAATGAAATATTAAACTTTTAGTTATATATTTATGTTTGTTTTCATTGTATTTATTTTATATATGTGCATATATTGCCAACGCGCTGCGTAAAATATTAATGATGAACGCACGCAAATACCAATTTATTATAGTTCATGTAACGGGTGATTTTTTTGAGGTTAGGATTTTCATGCATTAGTATTTGACAGATCACGTGGGATTTCAGACATGGTGTCAAAGAGAAAGATGCTCAGTATGCTTTGACATTTCATCA